CTGCGCTGCATGCTCATCATGAAAATCTTCCGCCTACAAAGTCGATCATCTCCCGGGCGGCCACGGCAATGGAGCACTTCAACATCCTGGACATCGGAGGTGCAACAACTGACGTTGTTAAGTCTGCTATCAGAACCTCCACCCAAGCTTCTCTGCGGCAGAAGCCCCTGCATGGTCGCTATTGGCAGAGGAGTGGCGGTGTATTGGACATGCCTCTCTCATTCAACTTCTTAAAGTCTCCAACATTGCGTCCATCCACTGAGTCATCCGTATTTGCTGCTCAGGATCAGGTGGTTAATACCAGGAACTACCAAAGATCGGTTATTGGCGACACTTCCGTGGTGGACGTGTGCCGTTTGTGTGGAGGTCCGGGGGAGACTGTTGACCATATTTTGGCATGCTGCCCCGTGTTGGCACGGACGGCATACATTACTCGCCATAATCGTCTTGCCGCTATGGTCCACCGGGCACTCTGTCATCGCTACAGACTGGTATCTCCTGCTCCCCCTGGCCACTTGCCACACTACGTAGAGGATAGTGAAGGCCGTAAGTTAATGTGGGAAATGCCAATCCCTACAGATAGGATGGTTGGAGCAAATCGGCCGGATCTTGTGTGGGACGATGGCAAGTCAGTCCAACTTATTGATGTCAGTGTGCCACTGGATCATAGAGTAACACTAAAGCATGCTGAAAAGAGAGCGAAGTACTTGCCCCTCGCAGTGGAAATTGGGCAGATTTGGCAGCGAGAGGCAGTGTCCGTAGTGCCCATCATAGTTGGTGCTCTTGGTGGCCTGACGAAGGAAGCGGCTACCTCAATTAAGCAGCTATGTGGAGAAGAGCGGCACCTTCATGAACTGCAGCAGGCTGCTATCCTTGGCTCGATGGCCATTCTAAGATCTGTTTTGGGTGCAGCATAGGGCTCTTCGCTGTCCCTGGTGGGCTTTTTATGCTCTGTATGTTATTGTATTCGTTTTAGTTTGTAATTGAAACACTGTGGTATTTCTGTGGGTATTCGTATTTGATCTTTCTGTGGGTGCGCATTGGAAGTTGTGCCCAGTGATGAGCTTTGCCGGCCTGAATTTTTCGCCAACTTCTGATGCTCCCCTTTCTGCAATACCTGTTGCCATGATACCTCTGAGCTTTAATGCCTGTGATGGTACATGCGCCTTTCTCCCTTCCTCTCTCTCTACCTTACTTTTTTCCATATATTATTCCGTGCTGCTTACCTTTGGCTATGATAAGTCCGGTGAGTTAGTGTAATGCCTCCAATTTTTATTTTTATTTTCAATTTGGAGTGGAATAAAGACTCATAATAATAATAATGAGTTTGCTCCCGCACTGGAGCTCGCGCTATTCCGCCCACTTGACTTGACACTTGACTGACTCACGACTGCGATCCAGAGCACACGAGAAGTCCATCGAACCTTCGACTCGACAAACCTGCAAGAAAGCACCACTCCCTGCTCAATACACAGTGTTTCGGGGAATTCACCCCTCATTAGTTGAGCTTGAGTAGGCTGAGGAAGATTGTGCCTGAAGAGCACCACTTATAGTGCTCTCCAGGCACAAACATCACCAGGGATACAAACTTACAGAGACGCTCCGTTTCCAGCGCGACAAACATCTCGTGAACACCAGATAGCAGCGTGAGTCAGGGTCGCTCCTGGACGGTGAGAACAGACGTAGAGGACCCTGGGTCATTCACAACGCTGTCACCTCCAAACCAGCTAGTCGCCAGCCATTCCTAAAAAATCATCGCCGAAGTCGCAACCACTGTTTCGTAATAATAATAATAATAATAACTTATTTTTTGAAAGTAGTAGTAGTAGTAGTAGTAGTAGTAGTAGTAGTAGTAGTAGTAGTAGTAGTAGTAGTAGTAGTAGTAGTAGAATTTATTATTTTACTAGGGAACTCCCAACAGAAAGGATTGGGAGAACTTCAAATTCAAAGTATCAGTCGGGGAAGTGAACTGCCTGAAAAGAGAAAGAACGCCCAGACCCACCAGGACTCGAACCCAGGACCTTGCTTGTCCTGAGCTCTAACCACTGAGCTATGGGACCAGGCTGAACCTAGAAGAAGGCGCTGACAAGTTTTTCACTCCAAAGGCAGCTCACAACACGTGCCACACATACTGATGGCACTTGGGTCTTTTTCCCTCCCCAAGGGGACCAACCACGGTCAGTTTCTGGACCCTGCCAGAAGTGAAATAAAGTGATTAATTGGTTGGTCCCCTGGGGGAGGGAAAAAGACCCAAGTGCATGTATCATGTATAAGTATGTGGGATCTCAGGGTCACAAACAAGGTACCAGTGGACAGAAAGCGGTCCCTTGAGCCAGAGGATCCACGCTGACCAGTGGTGCGTGGTTCTTTGGACAAGTCCCTAGGCTGTAGGGAGACACACCAGCACCGGCAATGGATGCACATTTCCAAGACCAACCGGCAACCGGCAACCAAGAATATCAGGCGCCCTCACTGTCACAGTCACTTTCACATTCACCTTCGCTCTCATTCTCTCCCGCGCTCTCTACCCCACCCTCACGCTCACCTCACCCTCACGCTCACCCCTCCCTCACGTTTTCTCTCACTCTCACCCTCACTCTGATTCTGATTTCTCCCTCACTCTGACTCTCACTTTCTCCCTCCCTCTGACCCTCACTTTCTCCCTCACTCTGACTCTCACTTTCTCCCTCCCTTTGACTCTCACTTTCCCCCTCACTCTGGCTCTCACTTTATCCCTCACTCTGACTCTCACTTTATCCCTCACTCAGACTCTCACTTTCTCTCTGACTCTGACTCTCACTTCCTCCCTTTCTCTGACTCTTACTTTCTCCCTCACTCTGACGCTCACTTTCTCCCTCACTCTGACTGGCCTTTTCAGATTTTCATTGTACCTATTTGTAGTACCTCCCGGGATCCGTATTTCCACTTGAAATAATATTCACCAAAATGCCTCATTCTTATCATTCTTTTATTCGCTTCCATGTAATTGGGCTTATTGCCCGTTTGGTATTGCGAATTCAAATAAAAAACAACAACAACTCGCACTTTCTCCCTCCCTCTGACTCTCACTTTCTCCCTCCCTCTGACCCTCACTTTCTCCCTCACTCTGACTCTCACTTTCTCCCTCACTCTGACTGTCACTTCCTCCCTCCCTCTGACTCTCACTTTCTCCCTCCCTCTGACTCTCACTTTCTCCCTCACTCTGGCTCTCACTTCCTCCCTCACTCTGGCTCTCACCTTCTCCCTCACTCTGACTCTCACTTTCTCCCTCACTCTGACTCTCACCTTCTCCCTCACTCTGACTCTGACTTTCTGCCTCCCTCTGGCTCTCACTTTCTCCCTCCCTCTGTCTCTCACTTTCTCCATCACTCTGACTCTCACTTTCTCCCTCCCTCTGACTCTCACTTTCTCCCTCACTCTGGCTCTGACTTCCTCCCTCACTCTGGCTCTCACTTTCTCCCTCACTCTGACTCTCACTTTCTCCCTCCCTCTGACTCTCATTTTCATCCTCACTCTGGCTCTCACCTTCTCCCTCACTCTGACTCTCACTTTCTCCCTCACTCTGACTCTCACTTTCTCCCTCCCACTGACTCTGACTTTCTCCCTCCCTCTGACCCTCACTTTCTCCCTCACTCTGACTCTCACTTTCTCCCTCCCTTTGACTCTCACTTTCCCCCTCACTCTGGCTCTCACTTTATCCCTCACTCTGACTCTCACTTTATCCCTCACTCAGACTCTCACTTTCTCTCTGACTCTGACTCTCACTTCCTCCCTTTCTCTGACTCTTACTTTCTCCCTCACTCTGACGCTCACTTTCTCCCTCACTCTGACTGGCCTTTTCAGATTTTCATTGTACCTATTTGTAGTACCTCCCGGGATCCGTATTTCCACTTGAAATAATATTCACCAAAATGCCTCATTCTTATCATTCTTTTATTCGCTTCCATGTAATTGGGCTTATTGCCCGTTTGGTATTGCGAATTCAAATAAAAAACAACAACAACTCGCACTTTCTCCCTCCCTCTGACTCTCACTTTCTCCCTCCCTCTGACCCTCACTTTCTCCCTCACTCTGACTCTCACTTTCTCCCTCACTCTGACTGTCACTTCCTCCCTCCCTCTGACTCTCATTTTCTCCCTCCCTCTGACTCTCACTTTCTCCCTCACTCTGGCTCTCACTTCCTCCCTCACTCTGGCTCTCACCTTCTCCCTCACTCTGACTCTCACTTTCTGCCTCCCTCTGGCTCTCACTTTCTCCCTTCCTCTGTCTCTCACTTTCTCCATCACTCTGACTCTCACTTTCTCCCTCCCTCTGACTCTCACTTTCTCCCTCACTCTGGCTCTGACTTCCTCCCTCACTCTGGCTCTCACTTTCTCCCTCACTCTGACTCTCACTTTCTCCCTCCCTCTGACTCTCATTTTCATCCTCACTCTGGCTCTCACCTTCTCCCTCCCTCAGACTCTCACTTTCTCCCTCACTCTGACTCTCACTTTCTCCCTCACTCTGACCCTCACTTTCTCCCTCACTCTGACTCTCACTTTCTCCCTCCCACTGACTCTCACTTTCTCCCTCACTCTGACTCTCACTTTCTTCCTCACTCTGGCTCTCACTTTCTCGCTCCCTCTGAACTCTCACTTTCTCCCTCCCACTGACTCTCACTTTCTCCCTCACTCTGACTCTCACTTTCTTCCTCACTCTGGCTCTCACTTTCTCGCTCCCTCTGAACTCTCACTTTCTATCTCCCTCTGACTCTCACTTTCTCCCTCACTCCGACTCTCACTTTCCCCCTCACTCTGACTCTCACTTTCTCCCTCACACTGACTCTCACCCTCACCGCTTAGACTGCAAGCAAACGGAGCCGGTTTCATTCTCCATTTCACCACTTCGTCTCTTTCCACTGCTGGAATGTCATTTTCTGACACGGCACCTCTCTGGGTTCTTTCTACACCCTTGTTTCAATTTCCTCTCCTTCTTTTTTTCTACTTTCTCCATCACTACGCTCAGCGCATGATTTCTTTCTCTTCATTTAGATTGGTTTGTTTTCCCATTAACACTTCCCATAACTGCAGCATCATAACCGTGACGTCTACACCTGCGGATTGTGCAAACGTAGCTAGACTGGACAATATTTCTTGTTAACAGCGGCACTGCCCATTGTAGGTATGTGCCTGCTCTTACATCGTCGGAGTGGCAAACTGCTGGCGCTATTGGCCTATTTCCCTCTGCCACTCCCTACTCCACTGTGAAAAGTAAAAAAACCGGCGGGTGTACCTGGCCCTGACAACGTACCGGACAACAAACCAGCTGCGCTTCCAGAGGAGTCTCAGTCGGCCATTTTGTCCTGGAGCGAAGAACTGCAGCGTCTTGAACACTTGCTCATTTCCTTGAGGGATGAAATGACCTCGAAACATTTTGTGGTGCCCTTGAGCGAGGAACAGCAGCCTCAAAGTGTGATAGACTCGCTCCTTTCTTTCGGAGACGAAATGGCCTCGGAATGGGGCAGTTATCTTAAGAGCCTTTTGTGGGCGGATTCACCTGACCCTGACAACGAACCAGACAGTGTGCCTGCTGCGCTTCTAGAGCACGATGTATGGCCACATGAGATGAAACACCAGTGTCGTGCAATGCGAGATTGCTGGAGGTTTGTAGTCAATGAGCTTGAGCTGGAAGGCCTCAGGGATGTGTTCGACCACAGGTTTGATCACTGCTACTGCAAAGAGTGCCGTAGTACGACCGCTGAGATTACGGAGCGTGGCGATGAGGTCTACGTTTTACCCGACGGATGGTGTCGATTTGGACTGAACCCAAGAGCCATGATAGAACAGTACGGCGGGGACACGAGCATTGTGAATGTAATGTTTGACAGGAGAGAATCCTCTGGCTGGCCAGTAGGGTTTCATGGCTCTCACCCGCGACACATTCGTAGCATTCTTAACGAAGGGAGGCTGTTGAAGCCGAGTCAAAGAACGAAGACAGGGACAGAGATCACAGTAACTCATGTTTGCACTATAGGCGGCTTACAAGCCCCCGCCGAAGTGTATGAACGCATATTCTTTTCGCCATCAATCCGCTACTGTGAGTGGTACTGCAAGCAACCACCAGCGTCAACACACCTCTGTGTTCTACAAGCCAGAATAAGAAAGTCCATGGCTGACGTGGGCCATGAGACCCTGGCTGGTAGGGTGGAGGATAAGTATGTGGAGAGACATGAAATGGAGTGGAGCGTGAAGGACGGCATACATACTCCACTCTACGGATTACTGATTCGCGAAAGGCCCGAACAATTCTTCTTCCGATGAGTAAGTTCGAATTCAAAATCTTCACCAATTGTTTCAGCTTCTGATAAAGGTTCAGACTATCGTGTACCCTCAATTTTTTAACTGCAAGTTTTAAACACCCTCAACTAATGAATTCAATGTTGTGTTGTGTATATTGTTGAATACATTGATTGGAGGGGAATAGAATGGATACCTTTCTTTTTCGAGAATTGCGTGTATCTTTCCAGGCAACTTCTATTCACCTTTGAGTGTGCAATCCTTTTTAATTAACTAAAAACGTGTCCTGATTGAGTCGTCAGAAAGTTGAGAATGGATTTCTTTCCCTCGCGGTTTTCCCTTCTTGCAAACTGCAAGAACAGTGTTCACTTTATCTAGGCGTCGGCGCTCCATAATTAACTGCTCCATGCCAAAGCCCGGCATCGAATCCGATACGATCACTGGCAAGGATCTGAATTGCCATTTCCTTTCAAGGATTCTCCGATGGAAAATGGATGCCTACCCGTGGAAGGGAGTCTCCAAAAAATATGAGGTGAGAGGGGTGGGGTAATCGGAAAACATGGCAGAACTACAAAAACAATCGGGACCGACCCCGAGGAGATGGAATTGATTTGTTGCATTTGTGAAGCAAAGCATACGAGGTCATGTGAGGGAGCATTGCAGAGGCTCTTAACCAACTCCTTTAGAATAAGCCTTTGCTGAATCACACTCAAGTAGAAGCTACAATATTCGAGCGTCACCGAGCAGGGTCACGGTTCATGACCGACAAGGATATTAGATACTATACTTGGGAGAAGAAAGGACAGAAACTAACTCTTTCTAAGAGTAATGCTAGTGCACACATACGTGTACACTGTTCATGCCGCCGTCCAAATTGGAAGTGAGTAAAAAGTCAGATGCTGGTGTAACCACTTCTCTGGCCTCTTCTTCTCCTGTGCTGAGTTGTGCAGAGCAATTTGAATCGTCGGCATGACTCCCAGCTCCACACAAGGGTGAGTATGATCCAAGCAAGTGCAATGAAGACACTATCTGCCGCTAGCGTGTAGCCAGCATTGTACTGATGGGCATTCATTGGTCTCGGCAGAGAAGTCGCTATGATGGAGCGATGCCATTTGATACCAATCAAAATGGTCATTGTACTAGTCAGCAAAACACACGGCAGGGAACACGTTGCTGCCACAAGACAGTGTGCTAGAGATCTGTACGATAGTACAGTGAAGAGCATCAAGCCGAACGAGAACACCAGGGAGAATCCATACGAAGCCCACAGCGCTGGACACATCTGCGACCCGGGCAGCAGAATGCATGTTGAACCCAACACACCCGCTTGGTTCGACCAATGCGCGTCCTTAGCCGATAGAACAACTGCAAGAAGAGAAGCAGTTATTAGCAAGCAGAGAAGAATCATCGTCCAAGTTCTCGGCTTCGCTTTTTCGTTGTCTCGCCTGTAGGAGAACTCAGCAAATCCGTACAAATGAATACGAAGAAAGGCTACCCCCATAGAGAGGAAGGAAAAAACAGTAGCTGTCACCAACATACTCCTCTTGTGTAGCTCAAGGTCTTTGCTCGCGACCATTTTGCGGCCTTGGAAAATTGCTGAGGTGAGCCACATGACGAACATGCCAGTGGACATTGCCAGCTGACATGCAAGAGTGCAATAGTACCTTGCTCTGCTATCAACGGCAAACCACCATCCACAGTACGTAAAGATTACAAGAGAGTGGTAGATCAGAGACAATGCTGCGGTTGCTATGACGAAATTGCACTCGCTCTCTTTCTCCGCGTAGACACACGAACTGTTCAGATTCTCCAGACTCTCTGCTCCGTCATAGTTAGCACTCGTCAGCGTTGCCAGGGAAACGGCAGAGAACATTGCCATGCCAACACCAGACAGGACAAGTAGTATGTATAGTGCGTTTGGTACTGAAAATCCAGAGTCATCCTGTTGGAGATGTTCAACCTCATCTTCACTGGCCTCAGGCACGTAGGAGTTGAGATCTTTCAGCCACTTGAAGAGAACGGCTACTGACACCATCGTGTTGGACATATGAAAAGCAATGACAGACCCGCCGCCATACCGTTGATTGCCGCTGAGGGTTGCGGCAATGTCCGAATCGAGCACAGCCAGCCAGTTTGTGAGCGATAGCAGCGACGACACAAGCTGCAAGGCCATCAGAAAGAGCAGCGTGGACAAGCGCAGTACGTCCACGGCCAGTGGCAGGTTGGTCACGTTGTTGTGTTTGCCACTGGCCAGTCTTCGCCTCACTCTGGCCTCCACCATCAACACAGGTAGTAAGCATAATGTGACTATGCCGGTAACTCTCAGAACAGTGCATGCTGCATCGGCATCTGACTCCATGCCAAATAGACACGTGCCGTTCGTCACCGATCCACCATCAACTCCGAACGATCCTACGATTGTTAGCGATATGGCTGATGCCAGCATCATCAGGCCAAACAAGGCGATCTCCGGTATATCGAACACTCTCTTGGTCACCCATGTGGCAAGTGGCTGTGGAGTAGATGTACTTGGCTTTTGGGACATCATCACACTGATCGCAACGCCAAGGAGAAAGGAGAAAAATGTGAAAACCGAAGCGGTTTTGCTGGTTGCGTCCAAAGCAGAACTGCCAGAGTGCTGTAAGAGTGCGAGCTGAACGACGAACGAAGCAAGAGCTACAACAGTTGTAGAAACCTCGAAGAAGACGAGCAGTGTCGATTTTGTGGTTCTAAACAACTCAAAGGCCAGCTGAATTATAGCAGCAATTAGCAGAGTGATGTTCATTGTGAGGATGCCATTACAGGTCTCATACTTGCCATATAGACAAAAGTAACTGCCGGTCTGCGCAGAGAAGCCATTGGCACTTGCAGAGATGAGCGTCCCGGCTGCAATGGCCGTGAATACCACCTGAATAAGTCTGGTTACCCGTAGATAGCTCGCCTTATCCGTGCTGGTCCCGCTCTCACCTTGACCTCGACCTGTACCAGCCGGGCCTGCGCTATGACCGGAGTCACTAGTAGTAGCATGATCACCACTGTTCTGGGTAGAGCCGCGGCTACGTCTAACCCTCCTACCAGGCCTGTTGTGGACATGGCTTGCGGAGCTTGGATTGGTGTCGCTTCCTCCACCTTGTCCCGATTCACTGGATACAGAATGCATCTCGTCAGCGAATCCGATCAGCAACAGCGAAACTCTTCCTCAGAAAGTGCCTTCGTCAAAAGTCACCTCTGCATGCTGTTTTGTTCTTGCAGCAATCGTTATTCAAAATGGCAGACGGTGAATACTCTCTCATTGGCCGGAACGTTGCATGCTAGACCGGCCGTCAACAGTGGTATGTAAAGTTCGGGCACAGCAGGCATTCACACACATCACAGCAATCATGAAGAAAGGAGACTGTGGACATAATACAGGAAATAGTAGCAATCATTGGGGCAATCAGTGTGTAGATCTCTACGTGTCACACATATCGTAGTATTCAGTCGTTCAAGCTCATGAAGACATGATCAAAACTTTCTACAAACTGTAGAAAGTTCTGATCATAAGTGGATCTACAGTACCTCATACGCTAGCTATGCAGCTGGGGCTTCTTCATGACATGAATCAGTTGCCCATGTACATGTACATACACTTCATGATCGTACTGAAAGTCAACAAAATTAAATTTAATATTTATAATTTTAATATTCGGCGCACATGTGACAGTTTATACAGGCAACAGCATGCTAGCAGTACAGGCCGGAAATTTGTTGCAGACGAAATGTGTTTTAGCCCTGGAAGGCCAAAATTTGAATGGACCGAAAATACAGAGTTTCAGTGCTCTCTCTCAAACAGCCACCAGTCAGCAGTCGTTGCGGGATATGTTCAGTTTGCCATTTTAGGTCTGTACCCGAGCAGCAGCACTTTGGAAACAGGGAACCGAACGATGAGAGAGAAGGACAGGGACGGGTGTCATCGATCATGAGAAGAGAATGGTGCATTGTACATGTAATGCGAAGTAATGCAAGATACCGTCAGTCGGAGCAAATTCAGCTGATGAGATTGGAGTCACAGACCAGTTCTGCAGGACATCCAACTAATGATGTGATAATAATCGTCTAGACTAGGGTGCTACAGTCTCAGTGCTGTGAAATCCACATCCTGATAATGGCGAAACCATTCGATTATCAAGAGTATTATACTCTTGTTATCATGTGTATCTTTGTTGTGCAGGCGAGTCCATCAATGACCACGTTTTGTTTGTTTTCTGTTCCGCGCGAATCTGACGAGTGCGTACATATACATCTTCCTTGACACACAATGACATGCCCGGGCCAGGGCACTGAGGCTGGCGGTCGACTTCGACGATGTTTTTTCTTCTTTTTTTCTTCGGCCAGTATGCATGACATGGGTTTTGATTCGAGGGTTAGACATGGGTTAGTAACTGAGGACAGGTGTGAGTCCGCCCTCTCGGCATGACGATGTTCGAAGCCGCTGGTTGACCGGGTGACAGCACCCACATTGCACTGCGGTGTTCACTCTTCGCCCATACCACCAGGTTCGGGCAGAACTGTAGTACAGACACGGCTAGCTAGCTGTAGTGTAGATTTACGCTGTCACAGTGTCAGCATCAGCCATCACGCTACCTCAGACTCAGGTGTGGATAGTCGGATTGATTCTCTATAAAAGAAGGTGGTTTTCTCCTGAAAGCTCTTTTACGGTTTGTTTGCCTCCAGTTACAATTTTTTCATTCCCTGCCTTCGCATCGCGCTCCGACAGGACAAAGTCATGAACACCTTGGGGTACGTCTCGGTCTGTATGCTCCTCGCTATGGGGGCTTGCTTGTCAGGAGCGCTCGAGAATGGCTTGATCCGGACGCCACCAATGGGCTGGTCAACGTGGAACAAATTCCACTGCGGAATCAACGAGACGCTAATCAAGGAAATGGCTGATGCGCTAGCCAGCTCGGGACTCTCCAAGTCAGTACTGTAGTGTATGTGGTCTCTTCATTGCTTGAATGTGCTGTGGATGACTTGCAGATCGGGGACGGCTTGAAATGAGATACAAAATTATTAATGATGTCGTGTAGCTCCCATGTTCCCGAGTCAAGGTCAATGAATGACTCCCCCTAGGCCTAGGGCCCCTACCTGGTATAAGAACGGGGAAGAAAATGCCGGTAATGTAAATGCACTTGCAGCACATAACCTTAAAGGGGAAGTATACCCTAAAATCAAATTTTCACCAGTTGTAGTCTTCGGGGTGCTGAGTCGAATGGTCTTGGTCCGAGGAAGCTGAGACGCTCCCTTCCTCCTTTATTCCCAATCGAACTCGCGCACTTCCACCGAAACTGGGTGACTGCGCCCTACTAGATGGGGATTTGTATGCAAAATGTCACTAAAAGCGCCATTCCGTTCTTATAAAAGCACGGATGACCGCGATTGGCCCATATGTTGTAGTCTTTTGGACGCTGAGTCGACTGGTTTTGGTCCGAAAAGGCTGCGATGCAGCGTTCCTCCTTTATTCCCAATCGAACATGGTTGAACAAGCGGTCACGTGCTCCTGCGTACACCAGTCAGCTGGTCACCGTGCCTGCAGGGTACAACTTACTAGCCTGTTTGACCTTTTTTGGGTGCAGTTCTGTCACTCGAGTTGAACCTTGGTGTGAAAGTTGTCGCCTGCTGGCGCGGTGACCAGGTGATTTGGGCACCCAGGAGCACGTGACCGCTTGTTCAACCATGTTCGATTGGGAATAAAGGAGGAACGCTGCATCGCAGCCTTTTCGGACCAAAACCAGTCGACTCAGCGTCCAAAAGACTACAACATATGGGCCAATCGCAGTCATCCGTGCTTTTATAAGAACGAAATGGCGCTTTTAGTGACATTTTGCATACAAATCCCCATCTAGTAGGGCGCAGTCACCCAGTTTAGGTGGAAGTGCGCGAGTTCGATTGGGATTCAAGTAAGAAGGGGGCGTCGCAGCTGCCTCGGACCAAAACCATTCGACTCAGCACCCAGAAGACTACAACTGGTGAAAATTTGATTTTAGGGTATACTTCCCCTTTAATATGTACAACATACACACTCACGACTAACTGATGCACACTCACGGGTAGCCTTTTGGCTTTGTGCTTTGTGTGTTTCCCTTTCTCTGCAGTAGTATAGGTATGTGCAGTCTGATAAAAATAATTATTGCTATGCATGTGCGCATCAGTGACCCCGCATGTTGTGCTTCAGTAGTGTCTTGACCCTATGGGTATGGGAGCTGTTAAAAAGACCAAAAAGTAGGGATTCACTGGCCGGAAAAAGCCACTTCATAGCTGTGTGGTGACCGTGTTGACCAGGCTGAATAGTGGCGGTCAATTCTTCAGCCTTGCAAGCTGTTGAATGGTGCAATCCCAGCACAAGCTGCTATGGCTTCTGCTGTAGCATTGCTATCATCGCCGGAGGCGATGGGCGTCAAAAGGTCAATGGTCATGGTAACTGTTTCACTTGATGACTGGTGAGTCACTGACCACGTACGGATAGCTCTATATCGGTATTGCATTGGGAACAACTTTTCTTATTGTCCGCGAACTCCAACGCAGCCACTTACACATTTATAAACCTCACTCCTCACTCCTCACTCCTCACCTCCAATAACGGTATCTTTACCGCGATTCGAATCGATACTTTTACACCAAATCGAAATGGTAGTAGAAGGCCAAAATGGTGTAATAATAATTATTGTTGATTTGAAACGGTTGGATGAATTGAATTGAGATATTTGCGACTTAACTGCGGTAGTTGTAGAAGAAGGTGGCTGCTCCTAATGTTGGAGTAAAGTGTCAGTCAGTCAGCAGGAAGCGCGAGCTCCGACGTTTGATAAATTGCATCGCGAAATTGGTTAATTATTAAAATAGAAAGTGAGGCGATATTACCTACGCGTTACATTTCTCAACTCGTACAGGGCCGGCTATGTGTATGTGAATCTGGACGACTGCTGGATGGCTGCGGAGCGCAACTCTACAGGTTATCTGCAAGCTGATGCCACTACATTCCCAAGTGGCATGAAAGCATTGGGCGACTACATTCATGGAAAAGGCCTGAAGTAAGCACCACACACATGCAACCCCCCGCCTCCTCAAACACATCTTTGATTTATGCCAAAGTGTTGTATGATTTGGTATTGTCCTTTACCAGGTGTAATTTGCAGACTATCACCCATAATAACATGCAAATTGATTAGTTGCTCTCTCTTTTATTTTCTCTATTGGATACCAGCATGTACATGTAGCTTACATGCTTATGTGTTGTTGCAGGTATGGTTTATACGGGGATCCGGGTACAATGACATGTCAGCGACGGGCTGGGAATGAGAACCATGAGAAAATTGACGCATTGACATACGCCGAGTATGGTGCAGATTACTTCAAGTACGACTCCTGCTACGCCAGTCATGATTATCAACTTCATGCTTACATGGTATAGTATTGGAGTACATGCCACTATCTCTTTGTCTCTTTGTCTGTCTGTCTCTTTGTCTGTCTGTCTCTTTGTCTGTCTGTCTCTTTGTCTGTCTGTCTCTTTGTCTGTCTGTCTCTTTGTCTGTCTGTCTCTTTGTCTGTCTGTCTCTTTGTCTGTCTGTCTCTTTGTCTGTCTGTCTCTTTGTCTGTCTGTCTCTTTGTCTGTCTGTCTCTTTGTCTGTCTGTCTCTTTGTCTGTCTGTCTCTTTGTCTGTCTGTCTCTTTGTCTGTCTGTCTCTTTGTCTGTCTGTCTCTTTGTCTGTCTGTCTCTTTGTCTGTCTGTCTCTTTGTCTGTCTGTCTCTTTGTCTGTCTGTCTCTTTGTCTGTCTGTCTCTTTGTCTGTCTGTCTCTTTGTCTGTCTGTCTCTTTGTCTGTCTGTCTCTTTGTCTGTCTGTCTCTTTGTCTGTCTGTCTCTTTGTCTGTCTGTCTCTTTGTCTGTCTGTCTCTTTGTCTGTCTGTCTCTTTGTCTGTATGTCTATCTGTATGTCTATCTGTCTCTCCCTGTGTCCGTCTCTCTGTCTCTCTGCTCTCTGTCTCTGTTTCTGTGTCTGTCTGTCTGCATCTCTCTGTATTTCTGTCTCTATCTCTGTGTCTCTGTGTCTTTCTCTCTGTCTCTGTCTTTTTCTCTCTGCCTCTGTCTCTGTCTCTCTCTCTCTGGCTCTCTCTCTGGCTCTCTCTCTCTCTCTCTCTCTCTCTCTCTCTGTCTCTCTCTGTCTCTCTGTCTCTCTGTCTCTCTGTCTCTGTCTCTGTCTCTCTCTCTCTCTCTCTCTCTCTCTCTCTCTCTCTCTCTCTCTCTCTCTCTCTCTCTCTCTCTCTCTCTCTCTCTCTCTCTCTCTCTCTCTCTCTCTCTCTCTCTCTCTCTCTCTCTCTCTCTCTCTCTCTCTCTCTCTCTCTCTGTCTCTCTCTCTCTCTGTCTCTCTCTCTCTGTCTCTCTCTCTCTGTCTCTGTCTCTGTCTCTGTCTGTCCTCTCTGTCTCTCTCTCTCTTTCTGTCTCTCTCTATCTCTCTC